AAAAAAAAAAAAAAAAAAAGAAAAGAAAAATAATCACATAAGAAATTACCAGGCTGGGTGCTGTGGGTCACACCTGTAATCCCAGCATTTTGGTTGGCTGAGGTGGGTGGCTCATTTGAGGTCAGGAGTTCAAAACCAGCCTGACTAACATGGTGAAATCCCATCTCTACTAAAAATACAAAAGGCCGGACACGGCAGCTCACGTCTGTAATCCCAGCACTTTGGGAGGCCGAGGTGGGTGGATCACGAGGTCAGGAGTTTGAGAGCAGCCTGGTCAACATAGTGAAACCACATTTCTACTAAAAATGCAAAAGTTGCCCAGACATGGTGGCACGCACCTGTGGTCCCTGCTACTCGGGAGGCTGAGGCAGGAGAAGCCTTGAACTCAGGAGGCAGAGTCTGCAGTGAGCCAAGATTGCGCTGCTGCACTCCAGCCTGGGCAACAGAGGGAGACTCCATCGCACAAAAAAAAGAAAAAAAAAACAAAAGAAGTTACTGATATGACTGAATTGGTCACCATAGGTGAACATTTTAAGAGAGTTCTAGAATGTAAAATATCCAATGCTGAAAGAAAAGAATGCAAAGGATAATGAAGTCTTTGCAGCTAAAACAGCTGAAAGGATAAGAACAAGGGGAGCTCCCCTTACTATTAAAACTCAAACTCACTTTGTTGTAAACAAAGAAACCCTGCTCCAGTTGCCTGCCACCTTTGAAACCGTCAGGCTGTTTGGAATGAAGATTGTTCACTCTCACACCAGGTCTCTACTGGACCGAACCCTTTTGACCCAGACACTGTTCGCATTAGAGGACATTTCTTTTCCTTCCTTTTTTTTTTTTGAGACTGAGTCTCACTCTGTCATCCAGGCAAGAAGACTTTCCATGAACTGTCGACGGATAATGATCAGACCTTCCATGACCCAGAACCTGGAGCTAATGGCTTTTAGAAACAAAACCAGAGGAAAACTGTCCTTGAGCCTCATTGGAAGGGATTCTACCACATGAGTTACCTTTAAGGATTGGAAATCCTCTTCGAGAGGTAGATGGTGTTAGGAAATCGCTTTCCCAAAATGACAGAATAAGACTCCACGTGACTTCCTTCCATGGACTTGCTATTGTCTTGCATTAACACAAAAGGTTCCAATTTATACTTCTATTTTCATAGGAATTTTTCCTTCTCAAATCAAACATCCTCTAAGATCCTCTATTCAAAACGTAGCCATGTAGCCACTCTTTTTTTTGTTGCTGTTTCTTTCTTTTTTTTTTTTTGAGACGGTATCTCGCTCTGTCGCCCAGGCTGGAGTACAGTGGCACCGTCTCGTCTCACTGCAACCTCTGCCTCCCGGGATAGAGCAATTCTCCCACCTCAACCAGTAGCTGGGATTACAGGCGTGTATCACCGCACCCAGCCTCAATTTTTCTTCACTGTAAACCTGAGTAATCTACAGTTGCTTTTATGGAGAGAAAAAGGCAGTGAGTTGTCTGATCAATGAGATTTGGCCCCGGGAACTCATGGCATGAGAATGAAATCATGGTGATCAGCTCCTCCTATCCTTTACTTCCCTCTGGGTGTGTGTTACCTACCACCTTGCTTCTGTATGTGAGTGTTCAGACGGTTAACACGCAATACCAGGTGGACACACAGGGCCTGGATTATTCTAAGTGACCAGTGGGCATGAGCCCCTGAAGTTAAGCCTTCTCCTTGGGGGCCCTCACTTCAATCCAGACGCTGAGACCCTGCCTGCTCACTCTTGATGGGTGGATCCAGAACCCTCAACTTCTGACGGTTACCTGTGCCGGGAAAGGACTTCACTGCAAAAGGCGTGGCCCCTGCCCTGGAAGAGGAGGCCCACAGTGCGCATGAGCAGGAGCCTCAGGGCATCACCAACCCATGCCTGTCCCCATGGTGGGGAGCGGCCATTGCTGAATCAAACTAGCTCTCACCAGTAAAGACATCATATTCCCTTTTATCTAATTATGAAACTCATAGAGGCATGTAGTAACACTTGTAAAATATTTCTTTTTCTTTTTTCCTTTTTTCTTTTTAGTGGAGTTTCAGAGTTTCAGCTGGGATTATAGGCGCACACCACCATGCCTGGCTAATGTTTAATTTTTAGCAGAGATGTGGTTTTACCATGCTGGCCAGGCTAGTCTTGAACTCCTGACCTCAGGTGATCCTCCTGCCTCGGCCTCCCAGACTGCTGAGATTATAGGTGTGAGCCACCACACTGGGCCCATTCTATGGGTTTTGACAAATGGATAATGACACGTTTCCACCATTATAGCATCATGCAGAGTAGTTTCACTTCCTAAAAAGCCTCTCAGCTCTGCCTATTCATCCCACTGTACCCCAATCCCTGGCAGCCATTGGGCTTTCCGCTGTGCCCGCGGTCTTGCCACGGTCTTGGTGACGCTGTGGTAACTCCCTGTGTATCGTGAAGTCCAGCAATCAGAAAAAGTACACGTAGGCAACTTCATTTGTTTCTCATACATCCCCCACTCCTGCAATTAATACAGACAGGGTTCTCAACATAAGACAATCCAATAATACAGACAGCAAATGTCTCCTCTGAACTTTCCCTCCATCCCTCCCCCCTCTCCAGATAGTTCAGTTCAGTGTGCCTTCTTCCAGACTCTTCCATGAATTCTTAAACATCCTTATGTGCACATAGAGATGTCTGGGTTTTTTCTTTCTTGTTTTCGTTTGTTTGTTTGTTTGTTTTTGAGACGGAGTTTCGCTCTTGTTACCCTGGCTGGAGCGCAATGGTGAGATCTCGGCTCACTGCAACCTCCACCTCCAGGGTTCAAACAATTTTCCTGCCTCAGTCTCTCGAGTAGCTGGGATTATAGGCGTGCGCCACCACTCCCAGCTAATTTCATATTTTTAGTAGAGCCACTGCGCTCGGCCGGACAATGTCTGGTTTTATCTTTCCTTATAGAAATAGTGTTTTACTGTGGTATTGATCATCTCACCTTTTTCCACTTAAGTGTAAATCTTGAAGATTTGTCCTCATTCTAATTAGCTGGCATAGAGTAGTTTATAAAACGAATGGTGCACGGTTTAACCTTTGCCTGTTGATGTACATTTATTTTACTATTACAGACCATATGGTACTAAAATTCCTTGTCCACACTAAAGCTTCTCTTTGGCCTCTCAAAGCTTTCCCTGTATTTATCCCATCTCTTCTGGATCAATTTTCTTGTCTCTGATAAATCATTGTCTTCAGCTTATGACCAGGCTCTTCACAATCTTTCATTTTGAAAATGAAGCAAAAGGAAAAGAAAGAAAAACTGTGCTTGCTGCCATAGGAGTCTCTAGCTAGCATTCATTTCTTCCCATTTCTAGCAGAATTTCTCTAACGTGTTCTGGGCTGGGCACAGTGACTCACCCCTGTAATACTAGTACTTTGGGAGGCCAAGGCAGGCA